TGCTCCCTTGGCACGGCACAAGTTCCTTACTTTTGATCCCGACTTTTCTCTACCCGAAGTCCAAGTTCACAGACCGCCACCCCGAGTAAGCTTAGAACGTACATTTATTCTTAGTTTGATTACCTCTATATTAAGAGTCCGTTGCTTTGATGTGTGTCTAGAACCGAATGAAATTGGAGTTAAATCTATCTGAATTTAAAAAATATGGGAAACATATCAAAATTTAAAAAAAAAAATGAATCCCATGTTAGACAAAGAGAAACTAACTTCATTGATTAAATTTGGTATTTGATACTTTGTTTTGGTTATTTTTATCATTTTCTTATTGTAAGGTGATCAGTATTCCACAACTTGTAATTAACAGATTTGGATGTTCAATTTCATTCTGTGCTCGTGCCAAGGGAATGCATGATTATAGATGTGTGGTGAAAATGTACTTTTGTTTTGATAGTATTTGCATGTTTTTATGAGACTTCAGTCAAGTAAATATGTTTGAGTTGAGATTTTTTTTTTATCATAATGTCTTTTTATGGATATTTAGTGAAGCTTCTAGTAATGTAGTTTGTGGTGGAGTATAATATGGAAAGAGAGATAAGTAGAGATAAATAGATGGAGGTATGGGTATGTACACATGCGTGTGTGAGTGTGTGCATGTGTGTGTGTGTGTGTGTGTGTGTGTGTGTGTGTGTGTGTGTGTGTGTGTGTGTGTGTGTGTGTGTGTGTGTGTGTGTGTGTGTGTGTGTGTGTTTCAAGTATGAGGTAAGTGCCCTTTACTCTGAGAATGAAGCACAAATAAAATGATAACATGTTTTTGTGATTAAAAGTGAGTGTAAGATTTCCTGATATTCCTACATCTAGAACCTTAACAAGTATGATATTGTATAAAAGATATGAATGAGAATGAATATCTTCACAATACAAGAGGCGTATTAGACCGATTTTGATTATATCTTCATCAGAAATACATGTATTTCATGTACTTCTGATGAAGATATAATCAAAACCGGTCAAATATATTAATTGATATGGAAATATAGACTGCATTTTGAGCATTTCAATTAATAGTGAGACATAAAACTAGCATTAAAGTTTTATCTTTGTTTTACATTGCATTGAATATGATAATAGTGCTCAACTCAGTCAGCAGTTTCATATCTATATTTCCACATACTTTAAGGTTCATTAAGCTGTAGGCATATAAAATAAACAGAGCCAAGTTAGAGGAACGTATTACTTAACATCTCTCCTTCACCAGGAATGGCAAGTCACCGCTTATGCAACGGCAGATGAATATGACTTAAATGAACTTCTGGATGGCCTAACGCATCAAGGTCTCTACGTCTCAGCTGGCATTAATCCAGGTAACACCCATAATGATAAGATGAGTACGGCACCTGGAATGCACTCTGACAGCCATGCACACTTGTCGTCAAAGTCTGGGTCTCATGCCCCTTCACATTCTGTACCAGGTAAGATTTATTTATTTAAGGAATGTGTGTGTGTGTGTGTGTGTGTGGTGTGTGTGTGTGTGGTGTGTGTGTGTGTGTGGTGTGTGTGTGTGTGTGGTGTGTGTGTGTGTGTGTGGTGTGTGTGTGTGTGGTGTGTGTGTGTGTGTGTGTGGTGTGTGTGTGTGTGTGTGTGGTGTGTGTGTGTGTGTGTGTGTGTGTGGTGTGTGTGTGTGTGTGTGTGTGTGTGTGGTGTGTGTGTGTGTGTGTGTGTGTGTGGTGTGTGTGTGTGTGGTGTGTGTGTGTGTGGTGTGTGTGTGTGTGTGTGGTGTGTGTGTGTGTGGTGTGTGTGTGTGTGTGTGTGTGGTGTGTGTGTGTGTGTGTGGTGTGTGTGTGTGTGTGTGTGGTGTGTGTGTGTGTGTGTGTGTGTGTGGTGTGTGTGTGTGTGTGTGGTGTGTGTGTGTGTGTGGTGTGTGTGTGTGTGTGTGTGGTGTGTGTGTGTGTGTGTGTGTGTGTGGTGTGTGTGTGTGTGTGGTGTGTGTGTGTGTGGTGTGTGTGTGTGTGTGTGTGTGGTGTGTGTGTGTGTGTGTGTGTGGTGTGTGTGTGTGTGTGTGTGTGTGTGTGTGGTGTGTGTGTGTGTGTGTGTGTGTGGTGTGTGTGTGTGTGTGTGTGTGTGTGTGTGTGTGGTGTGTGTGTGTGTGGTGTGTGTGTGTGTGTGGTGTGTGTGTGTGTGTGGTGTGTGTGTGTGTGTGTGGTGTGTGTGTGTGTGGTGTGTGTGTGTGTGGTGTGTGTGTGTGTGGTGTGTGTGTGTGTGGTGTGTGTGTGTGTGGTGTGTGTGTGTGTGTGGTGTGTGTGTGTGTGTGTGTGTGGTGTGTGTGTGTGTGTGTGGTGTGTGTGTGTGTGGTGTGTGTGTGTGTGGTGTGTGTGTGTGTGTGGTGTGTGTGTGTGTGTGTGGTGTGTGTGTGTGTGTGGTGTGTGTGTGTGTGTGTGTGGTGTGTGTGTGTGTGTGTGTGTGTGTGGTGTGTGTGTGTGTGGTGTGTGTGTGTGTGGTGTGTGTGTGTGTGGTGTGTGTGTGTGTGGTGTGTGTGTGTGTGGTGTGTGTGTGTGTGTGTGGTGTGTGTGTGTGTGTGGTGTGTGTGTGTGTGTGTGTGTGGTGTGTGTGTGTGTGTGTGGTGTGTGTGTGTGTGTGTGTGTGTGTGTGGTGTGTGTGTGTGTGTGTGTGTGTGTGTGGTGTGTGTGTGTGTGTGTGGTGTGTGTGTGTGTGTGTGTGTGTGTGTGTGTGTGTGGTGTGTGTGTGTGTGTGTGTGTGGTGTGTGTGTGTGTGTGTGTGTGTGTGTGTGTGTGTGGTGTGTGTGTGTGTGTGTGTGTGTGTGTGTGTGTGGTGTGTGTGTGTGTGTGTGTGGTGTGTGTGTGTGTGTGTGTGTGTGGTGTGTGTGTGTGTGGTGTGTGTGTGTGTGTGTGTGTGGTGTGTGTGTGTGTGTGTGTGTGGTGTGTGTGTGTGTGGTGTGTGTGTGTGTGTGTGTGTGTGTGGTGTGTGTGTGTGTGGTGTGTGTGTGTGTGTGTGTGTGGTGTGTGTGTGTGTGTGTGTGGTGTGTGTGTGTGTGTGGTGTGTGTGTGTGTGTGTGTGTGTGTGTGTGGTGTGTGTGTGTGTGTGTGGTGTGTGTGTGTGTGTGTGTGTGTGTGTGTGGTGTGTGTGTGTGTGGTGTGTGTGTGTGTGGTGTGTGTGTGTGTGGTGTGTGTGTGTGTGTGGTGTGTGTGTGTGTGTGTGGTGTGTGTGTGTGTGTGTGTGTGTGTGTGTGTGTGGTGTGTGTGTGTGTGGTGTGTGTGTGTGTGTGGTGTGTGTGTGTGTGGTGTGTGTGTGTGTGTGTGGTGTGTGTGTGTGTGTGTGTGGTGTGTGTGTGTGTGTGTGTGGTGTGTGTGTGTGTGTGTGGTGTGTGTGTGTGTGGTGTGTGTGGTGTGCCAGGTAAGATTTATTTATTTAAGGAAGGGAAAAAGAGGCAAAACCTATATGTATATGTGGGCCATGTCAGATGAATACTGGAAAAGTGATTGTTTTATACTGTGGTAATATTTTTATGTTCAGCGTTATGTCAATTATAAACAAAATATATATTTATGAATATGAAACTATCATGACAAAGTAAATTAGTGATATTTAATTTTTTTCAGTCTGCAAAAAAATATTATCATTCTTCTTCCTCTTGTTTAATGAAATTCCACTTTTATGACCCATCATCAAATTGTAATTTTCTGAAACTTTTCCAGTTCTGCCTCGCTGTATGATGATGCCTTTGTTGGCTGTTGGGAATTCACTAGCTTTCCTCTTACTCTTTTTCCTGGTTTCATTTCCTTTCGCTAAACACAAGAAGACATCAAAAAAGGAACACCCTTCCTTTTACCCCCTTCTTGAGTGTTGGATGAAATGAATGGGTTCTTCTGTTGTGTTTTCCTCATAACTTTATTACTTCATTGGGATAGTAGTAGCATTAGTTCAACATATTATGGTTGCTCGATCTATATTTCAAAATTAATAACACTTAATACATATCTGCAAGTTCAAAAGTATTCTTTAGTTCTTTCCTTCATCTCTGATATGTAGTTCTTGTCTTCATAATATGTAGTGGAATCTCATGTAGTTAACTAAGCATTTAACCTTTTGAACCTAGAAATGATTGCCTGTCCTCCTGGCATGTACATACATGCCATGGACTGGACTCCTCTCCAGGTGACTCCTTTCCAGAAAAGAATGCCTATCCTTGTGGCATGTCCATTCATGCCATGGAAATGCTCCATCCACTTAGCCTCATCTATGTTATGTGCACTAAACATGTGTTCACTTGTTTGGCCATGACTGTAATGATTGAGGAGTTATGGCCCTTTAAAAGTAGGACTAAAGTCAGTTTTTAGCTTGGAAAATTGTAATTGCTACAGCCAAAATCATGGGGAAGTTATATTTTTCCTTAACTTCTAATTTTTCACTCAAGGGATGACTGCATTCTATACCATGTTCGGGGTCCAGCATGAAACATGAAGCTCCTACTGGCATTAGGTTAAGGAGAAGTACAGTAGGTTTCCATTACTATTGAGATTAATGCCTCACTTTTTCAAAGGAATGAATGTTATAGAGACACAAAATCCAGTAGAATTATGTTTGGGTATCAGAAAGGTAAAGCATTTTCTATTATTCCAGTTGTTCTTACCTTCAATACATACATGTGTGTTTTCTTAGAATAGGATTTAGGAATATATAGAAATTATGTTTTTAGAGTAACTTGTAATTTGCTATTTTAAATATGAAGAATTTGGGTTAATTTAGTTGCAGTGGTAGTTTGTGATTAAATTGCTTCTGTTTGAATTGAAAATACTGTAGATATATTGAGGGACTGATCAAGTATGGTTCATCTTGCACAATCATGGTAAGAGTTTGAGCTTTACAGTTGTATCAGGTTTTTGGTTGTTTGTAATCTTCTGTTTTTCTCTCTCTACCTGTGTTTCTTTTTTCTTTCATTTTATTTTTTTGGATTATAATGTTTTCTGTAATATATTGCATTACTA